TTTTGGGAATGAATTTTACATCTCTAAAATAATCCCTATAAATTATTCATAATAATATTATACGAACATGACTCATCAAGGAAAATCAAGATTTCCTGAGATTTTCGCCTATGTACCAAAATTCGATTATAGGTACATCTTTTTGTTGTCTATCTAGTTTAATTTCTTCGATAGATATCACGAAGAAAGTTTAAATTTTGTTCGGATCCCTTGCGTCACGACACTTACCTATTAACTAGTCCGAAACATGCGACCAAAATGTAAAGTGAATCGCGCCCATTAGAGAAACATAGGAGCGAATTGCAAGGGCAAATCCGAATTAAAAATGATTAAGACCAATAGTGAAAATACGAACTGTAAGTCTGGATTCAAATCCAGAGGTTATGCAGTTCCTGGCTTTCTCTTGCCACATTGGGTCGTTCCTTTGGAGAACTTTGATGCTCAAACATACCGTAGAGAACACACGCTTGGTGATTCCCTCACAACATTTGGTAATAACCAATAAAGAGTACTACAATCTAGAAATGCATAGTAAATTAAAAAATGATGAGGCTTTTTTTGGCGGTTACATCGGCACTAAGATTCACTTGTCTACCTTTGAAACTAAAGGACTTGAGTCCTCTTTTCCTTGTCCCATTGAATTAACTCCTGAAACACTGTACTATGAGCCAGTATTGGGGATTTGCAATAGCTTGAATTAGGACTTTATAACCACTTTCAAAAAGATCTTTAAATCCAGATTATCTGAACAAGACAAAGCCCATGTGAGGGCTATAGCTTCCCTCTCAACTCGAGATTGAAGGCTATGATTTATCGGGTTAACATCTATTAATTTACGGGTACGAAATCTTCAAAATTTTGTTAGCTTAAATATATATTAGACGGACAATAATATTAAGTTCATGTATATTATAACGAATTAGATTGACATTTCGTTTGGGATTACCTGTGAGAAAACCATCCAACCGGTAACATTTAATATATGATGACAAATGATCGTTGACAAAAAAGAAAAAACCGAATTAGATGGACAATTTAAAAACTTCTTTAAAAATATTAGTTGGACAAAATGTTTAGACCACATAGACCAACTAAGCACCATCTAGGCTGCTTAAGATCCAAAATTTCATTTTTTTCTAAACCCACAGCCGTAAGATATACTCACCATGGTGGGAGTATGTGCCTAGGCCGCCTAGGTAAATTTCTTAAATACTGAGTATTTGTTTGGTTGAATCCAACCACCAATCCGAAGCCGAACCCAAACCCGGATTCAACACCCTATGAGAAACTGTTTTCACTTGAAGAAGCGTGAGCTGTTGTTGGAGTTGCAATTGGATAATCACTGCTGTCTTCAGTGGATACCTCACCTTGCCCAGCATTCATTCTTGTCACCACCCCTGAAGAAACACCATTACTAACTTCATCATCAGGTTCATACACCAAAGAAAACCCACACTTCACCACTTCACATTGTGCAATATCTTCACCAGTCCCATCTGTCACTTGGAATCTAAGCTTAGCTTCAGTAAGAATACATCCGTTCCTGTAATCCTCTTCTTGTCGTTTCTTGATGTTCAACCAACTTATGTAGCCAATAAAGACATGGTTTGACTCGACCGTACGGGGCTCATTCCCTGGTTCGAACCAACCTCCAGCTGGAACACTAAACCGGCTACATGATGCATCTAAGTTTTCAAACTCACATGTGCATTTAACCTGAAGACGATTGTTTTGATCTTTGTAGCCACAAAACGAGACGATGGCACATAGAGCTATTCCAAGAAACTTATCGTTGCACCAATGTGGAGGTAGCTTTTGTTCTAACTCCAAACCATAGGCTTGGTGACTGAACCATGGAGGTACTTCGTATCCAGGGTAGCAAGTCCCGATCAAAGCTCGGAAGACAAAACTCTGCAAGGAAAAATAAATAATTAGAACACTTAAAAATATTTTGGCAGATAGTTGAGAATTGAGATGTAAGAGTAGACTACCCCATTGTGGTGATCATCTAAAATCATTTGGCTTTTTCTCCGAATGTGGGATACAATATCATTCTTTGCGACTTCATTGAGTTTGCAACAATTGGTGAAGATGAACATGGTGTGAATCACTTCCGTTGGCATAATAAAGGCTAGAGGACTCATGACTGTTTGCAAGGAGATACAACCATGTGCATCTAAGCACTGTAGATTCGGTGGAAGTGTCGAAAGAGATATGAGTTTCTTGCAATACTTTAAGTCTAACCATTTGAGATGATACAGTTGACTGATCTCAGATCCTAAGCTGCAGATCGCATCATTTCTGCATAAAGATAGACGCCGCAGAAACAATAGGTTGTTACTACCGCGGAACATCTTTGGCACCTCTTCGATTGAAGTTCCGTCAAGTAGTAAAACCCGGAAATGTTCCATGTTATCTACAACAGTCGGAAAACTCTTGAGATTTGAACAACCAGAGAGAATCAGTTCTTGAAGAGCTTTTAGCTTTCCAATACACTCTGGAATACTCTCCAGTCTTCTACACTCCTTTAGATTCAATAAGATAAGTCTTTGAAGCTTCACAATGTCTGAAGGGAGATCCTTAATTGCAGTTCCATCTAAGTACATAGATTCTAGATTTTCTGAAATTAGCGGAAATTTATGAAGCTTCGAACAGCCGCTGAGGATAAGAGTTTTCAATGAAGTCAGATTCATCTCCGGTAGATGCCAGAGACTTGTGCATCCTCTGAGGTTCAAGAAAACAAGACTTTCCATTGTTTGCATCTCTTCAGCAGATAAACAATCTAGGCTTGTGCAACCTTCAAGATTCAATCTCAAAAGATTTGGAGCCTTTGAAAACCCTGACAATGTCTTTAACTCTCTCGAGTTGTTAAGATCAACCCACTTCAGTTTCGGTGTATCCTATTGAAACCACATAGAATTTCATCACTAGTTAGTAATCTATGCAACTACTACACAAAGGAACCAGACATATTAATAATACTAACCTTGGAAACTTTCCAGACTTGTTTAATCTTGCTGTAAGGCAGCCTGAGATCTACAAGGTCCTTGGGTTTGAAGTCTGATGGAAGTTCGTCCAACGGGAATTTCAGCCAGTCGAGGTATCTGACCTCTTCCAGTGGTAACGAAAGTCCATCAGGGAAGTTTAGCTTGCAGTCATCTTCACATTCCCGAGGACAAGTAGAACTGTAGAATTTAAGGTACCGAAGATTGCACATTTTGGTAAAGACTGAACTGCTTATAGGCATTTTTGTTACTTGAGAAATGTCTAGAGAAATGCCTCTCACATTTTTGATTTCCTGAAAAAGAATATAGACTCACTTATTAAACTGATATCATAAAAAAATATTTGGATATAGCTTTAAGTGATTGATTAGCCTCACTCACCATTTTTCCCTGTAGTGCAGCAACAATGGAGTTACAATTCCACAGCCTACATTTTGCTTGATCAGTTGCAGAGGATGATAATGAACAGAGTTCCATGGCGAATGTATGTAGTAAATCATGCATCTCTACGCGTCCGCCAGCTATACTAATTAAAAACTTGTAAGCAAGATCAGTTATCTCACTCGCAGCCTCCGAGGAAACATGATCCCCTGAATCCAATAAACTTCTCACATAATAGTCATCCTCTGATCTGAAGAAACACGCTACGTCAAGGAACGCATCTTTCTCCTCTTCACTAAGTTCATCATAACTTATCTTCAATAGATCTTGAATCCTCTTGTTGGGCATTTTTGCCAACGTATCAAGCCGCAATTTCCACTGATCCTCGGTTTTTCCAAGAAGATCCCTACCCAAAACCCTGAGAGCTAATGGGTTGCCTCTAGCGTAATCCACAAATTCTCTAGACATTTTCAGATAATCTCCCACCTCGGGATTGCAGATTCGATCTTCGAAAGCATAAAAGCTGAAGTACATCAACCCATCTTCAAGATTCAATCTTGGAACCACGTAAGCATTTGGATCCAACTCGGTGATGAAAGCCCTGTCACGGGTTGTAACAAGAATCCTGCTTCCTTTCTTAATCCAGTTTTGGTCCCCAAGAAGAACATTTATATGTCTTGCGCAACTCACATCATCAAGAACAAGAAAGACTTTAGTCAACTGAAGTTTACTCTTTAAGTAATCATCGTATGTAGTCCCATCAGGTATTTCTATCTTTGGGTCCTCCAGTAAATCTGCAAGGAACTTCTGTCTCAAACAATCAGCACGAAATGTCAACAACCTCTCACGGATGTCCAGGAAATTCACGCAACGATTAAACTTGTGTCTATTCTTGTTGAAAAGCTCCGTGGCGAGAGTGGTTTTTCCAATACCAGGCATCCCAACGATACCGACGATTCGAGTTTCGTCGCAGAGATCAAAACCCAACTTTTCCTCGACTTGCTTGATCCGATGTTCGAGTCCATATGGAGTAGCCATTTCAGGCTCTTCTCCTTCTGAGCATGAAATGGTACTGAGCCTTTGAATAACGACGTCGACGATTTTCTTAACGAACATGGACTGGTTACTGCCATTATAAGAGATCAAAATCAGATGAGTGTGTGTATGATACCGAATTCGATCAAATGAATCAATCATGAAACACCCGGATGGTGAACCTATTGGGTTTCAGAGCTCGATCAACGAGAGAAACCTCACACATTGGGATTTGGGGAGGATGGCAGGAGATTGTTTCGCATTTCATTTGTGTATTTAGTTTTGATTATTTTGATTTTCTTTTTTTTTTTTTAAGTCGTAACAAAAAAATAATACGGTACCCAATGGTAGTATTGATATCAAAGTTGAGATATAGCAAGTGTTGTAATTCGATATAATTTTAAGAATGTGGTAGAAATTGCGGATTTTAATATTGAGTTTGATGTAGAAATACGAATTAACATCTTTATCCATACAACTAGTGACTTTTATGATGTATAAACTGCAATCTATCAAACCTCAATCATTATAAACAATAACACTTATTAGAAAATTTCATTAATAAGTTGCAAACATTTCGATTTAAATTATGATATTTTTAATGAAAAAACCGCTCAGCCAAAAAAACTTAAATAGATTTCGCTTAATTGATATTGTGTTTTTTTTTTTGAAAATAAGTTGTGCATATTTTTGTTCATACGTAAAATAACGCGGTATTTATTC